GGTCATGGGCGGTCAAAGTGTAAAGCTCACCAACTATCAATGTAAAGCTCACCAACTGTCAATGGAAAGCTCACCAAGGAACAATGCAAAGCTCACCACTTTTTTTAAAAAAAAAAGGTTAATAAAGCAAAGCTCACCACACTACACTACAAAGCTCACCAATGGACAATGCAAAGCTCACCTGGAAATAAAGCAAAGCTCACCACTTTGAACTTCAAAACCCACCTTTTTTTTAAATTTTAAAAATTAAAAAATTAATTAAAAATAAAATAACAACACCGGTCGACCCCCGGTCTAGGGCGGCGGAGCAGCAGTGGCGGCCGGAGCCCGACGGTGGCGGCCGGAGTCTGGCGACGGCGACCGGATTCCGGCGACCGGCAGCGGTGGCGGCGGCGACCGGCGAAGGCGGCCGGTGGCAGGCGGCGGTCAATGCTGGCAGTCAACAGTCAAAGTCCAGTCAGCACCCTTTCCTTTGATTTTTTTTTTTGGAAAAAAATTCAAAGTGTTGAAAAAATATGGTGAGCTTTGCCTTACACTTTGGTGAGCTTTGTAGTTGTCTTTGGTGAGCTTTGCAGTGACCAGTGGTGAGCTTTGTGTCATCTGACCGAAGCATGTCATCTCACCGTAAGGTGTCATCTCACTGGAGTCAATCCCATATATATATATATATATATATATATATATATAATCAAAGAGTTTAGTATTAGTGATAGAACAGAGTTTCCAAACTAATATAATAAGCAATAAAAATCGCGCATATGAACAATTATGAGACAAAATAAAGGTGCTAATTTACCTACTACAATTTAAAGAAACAAATAGCTAAGATTAAAGATGTTTTAACTAAGTAAAATGATTATTATCCTAGACTTATAGAGGATTACATAGCTTGAATAAGACAAGTTTTACCACATTATTTAAAATGTATCATTTCTATATATCTATATTATCTGCTTTTTGAAATTCCTTACTCTAATTCAATCCCACATTCATCGTTTTGAAAGTTTTTGCCCCAACGTTGTTTTGGATTAAATTCATCACTCCATAGAGGTAGTTTTTTCCTTTAATGTTTTCACTCTTTATCTTTAGTTCGAATCCGAAGAGATTCGACATCTTGAAGTGTAAGCTATTAACCTTCACATCTCTCCAATTTTTTAATAGCGCTAAGCCTTTCTAGCTTGGTGGCAACTCTTTGATCTAAAACAAAGAAAAATTATGAAAACAATAATAACAAGAGTTTTGTTAAAGATTCTATCAAAGTGTTCTAGCTCATTAAACTTTTTGTCTTACTATTATAGTTTTGATAATTTTTTTTTGTTTTAGAGCAAAGAGTTGCACCAAACGAAAAAGACTTAGCGCTATTAACAAATTGAAGAGTTGTGAAGGTTAATAGTTTACACTTCGAGGTGTCGAATATCTTTGGGTTTGAACTAAAGATAAAGAGTGACCAAATCAAGGGAAGAACTATCTGTATGGAGTCATGAATTTAATCCAATATAACATTGGGGCAAAAACTTTCAAGACAATGAATATGGGATCAAATTGGAGTAAGGGATTTCAAAAAATAGATGGTATATATATATGTATCAATCGTACATTTTAAATAATGCAGTAAAATTTCTCTTCTTCAACATATGTAATCCCTTATAAAGTTTGGGATAACTAATAATTTTCATTTTGCTTAGTAAATACATTTTTAATTTTAGCTATTTGTTTCTTGAAACTGTACTAGGCATATTAGCGATTCTATTGCTTGTTAAATTGGTTTTGAAAACTCTCTTCTATCACTAGTACTGGACTCTTTGATCATATATGTAACAACATATATGATCATGTAAGCATTTAGAAAAAAGTAATAAAATTTTATGAAAAGGAAAGAAAGTACATGAAGGAGGGGTGGACCAAACCCAAAACAGTTGCCCAACGAAACTCGAAAGCCCTACTAAATGACTAGATCTCTTTTTCTCTCCACAGTAACAACTAGCCCAAACGAAGAGTGGGGTCTTAATTTCTAGAAAACTCCCAAGTCTGAAGTACTATGCCTTTTTCCCAATGCCTCCACTATTAAATAAAGCCTTGGTGTATTCTAGATTTAGCCGTCTTAAAACCCAAGTGTGGCTCTAGACAGACACTATCATAAAATCAACACCATACACGCTTGCTAGAAGTACCTTTGTGTCGAACAGCTTTGCTACAGTTTCCCATACTTCTTAAGTTATTGGCTACATACAAAAAATTCACAACGCATAAGCGTCATGCCTTGCAATCTGTCTAACGAGTGTTGGAGATAAAAGCTCCAAAACATGCTTCGTTTTCGAGTATCTGCCCCAGATTAATGTTCAATATAACTTTCAAAATCTGGTAAATCTGAAGGCAATAATAATCTCGTGCTTCAAACTAGCTGCCACCAACAAAGTCATAGGTGATAGGCTGGATAGACCAATATTTCTTGTTCAACCCTCTGCCCCATTCCATCTTCAAGACCTAATTTTCCATATATTTATATTATTTTCGAAAGAAAAATACCACACACCAATCACCAATCTTTAGTTTAATATGAATCAACTGCTGTATCGCCAAACAAAACCTAGAGATAGAAAAACCAAACCCACACCTCTAACAACAAACAAAACCCGAAGTAAAATATACCACAGCTTACTGGTTGCTGCTTCTTTTTGTTGTTGTTGTTTGGTTTGTTAGGTTTTGAAATGTTAGTAGACTTGCTCTTCTTATTCTACTTACCCTTGGGTGGCTAAAGAAAGAAATTTTTTGTTTTTTTTTTCTTTTGGACCATAGTCTTTTGAAGGCAATCAATATCGCTGAGATGTCATCATCACTCCCACTCGACTCATGTGAGTAATAAGTATGCAATTGGCATGATGGATTTATTCAAAGGTAGGAGTTGAGCTTTACTTCTAGTTACAATGAGAGAAGGTACATCTTTTACACACAGAGGTTACGTCTTAGAATAGTGTAGTCAACTGCTTTAAGACCATGATCATTCATGACTTGGGCATCCCCATCCAAGTGGGAGTATGGAATAAAAACTTCAGATTGCCGAACATATTCTTCAAGAGCATCATTAATCACGAACATCTTCGTTTCTAGAAGGGGGTTGCAATGGTCAGTCCTTTAATTGTCATTGCTCGTAGCAATGGCTCCAAACTTGTTCAAAGATTGTGCTAGAAATTCAGCTGCAAAGTGAGAGAGAGAGAGAGAGAGGGGACACAAGTGATCAAAAAAACATAGTTTGGAGACTGAAATTCCAAACCATAGGCAACTCCACAGCAACTAACATCTCACCGTTAGGGCACTCGATGTAACACTCCGCCCCCATCCTGGCCGTAAGTGTATGTGTTACTCATATTAGTCATTCTGCCCACGCCTTAGAGAGGGGGTGAATAAGGCGTTTGAAAATTTTTTGGAGTTAAATAAAAATGGTGTTGGCAAATGCGGAAGCAATAAGTAAAACGCAAAAATTAAAGCGTTAAGTAAAAGATACACCGATTTTATACTGGTTCGGGAACTCCCTACTCCAGTACCTTAAGGCTCATCCTTAAGGATTTTCGAATCCACTAAGTCTCGGTCTCTTGAACTCCGTCAAAGCACCGCACTAGTTTTGGCAAACAACCCTTGCCAATAAAATTCACTCCGAGATTTCACAACGGCTATCTCGTACCATTCCCTCAAGGATTTCCAAGGCTATCCTTGAACCTTTACCCAAGGATTTATACGGTTATTCTTAACTATTACAATATGAGAATTTAACGGCTATTCTTAACCGTATAAAGATGTGTTTGAAGAGCACAAACACGAGTTCTACA